CAAATCACGAGTGGGTACCAATCCACCAAAACCGCACATCTTTACCAGTGGGGCACAATACATTATAGAGCACTAATCCACTAGAGCCACGCATATGCACAAGTGGGCCACAGTTCACCGAAGTGCACCAATCCACCAGAGCCAAATTACTGGAATGCCCTTACATCCACTAAAGGACCGAAGAAGTTTCTCGTCACAATCAAAAGAAATTTGAGCCCCGAGCCCGGCCCTTAAAGTGCAAATGTGCCATCAAGCGCCTTTGCACCCTTGCACACTCGTGTGCACATTCACACGCTATGCGTGCTCTGCATAGTTTTTCTCTCTCATTGGTCTTAGAATATAAGTGAAGAGGATAAACTCATTTTTAAGGAACGCTTCTATCATCCCATTCTCCAATGTCAAATAAACAACCCACTACTTTTGTCTCTACAAATAAGACAACACACTTTCCAAAACACCATATTAAAAGGAGATATTATTTTAAAATAATACTTAGTATTTCCAAAGCAAAATACAACATACCGTTCATAAAATAAGAATAACATAATGATTTGCATGAGCATTGATGCAAAAAACAAGCGTTCAAGGGTTCCAGATGCAATCTAATAGAAAACAAGATGTGTTTTTTTAATTGTTAATTGTAATGTATTTCATTTATCAAAAAAATCGAAAAACAAGGTATGTTGTACCTAAAATCTATCTTGACAACTCATCCAAACAAGGATATGATTAGATAGGCAGTGAATGAATTTTTCCTTCAAAAAAAAAAACAATTCCCATTCAAAATATCAAGTACAATTTTCATAATAATTTTCATTAGTTTTAAAATAGGCATTGTAATACAAAAACTGAGTATGCTGATTTTGTAGGGTCTTAGCTTCAATGGAACTGCTCATTTTATTAGGTGGACGCAGAAGGATGAGATGCTCTCCCTGTCTTCGAGGCATTTGATGCGCCAGACTTGGACAATCCAATATGCACTTGGGTTGTAAAGAATACCTACACTATATAACCAAGCCTTGTGAAACAATATGTAGACTTCTTGAATTGCATGTTCAAGAAAAGTCTTTGAAAAATGCAATTTCTTCTGTTGATGCCATTGAACAGACTTCACTTGGGTCAAGCTTCAATTTGGTTTAAGTTTAAAGCAATTTGGCTGGATAAATCTCAAGATACAAGAGCTTTTCTAGTTGACTACGGCAAAAAATCACTACTATCAACTAACTGCAGTGAAAACATAAAACTAGGGAAAAAAATCTAAATAATGATTTCAAAGGGGCATTTAAAGAGATATTGGACAACCATGGTGAGAAACTATTGGTTGTTGAAACCGTGGAAGACACATGACAGTCGTGTCAGCACGTGTCATGAAAGTGTGGTACAGGTTAAGGCTCTAAGATAGCGAGAAGAGGGAAATTATGGAAGAACTTAAAATCGTAGCAAGAAGTCATTATTCTTTGAAAGGGGTACTTCCGGAGAAGGGTCTAATTAGGCTTACAATATCTTAACCGCAGTGAAAATTTATTCAACATCTCTATTAACCATGGTCAAAGGCTGATCAAGCGGCAGACATATGAAGCTAGAGATATATATTCAACCTCTCTGTTAACCATGGTCAAAGGCTGATCAAACGATAAAGAGATGAGGCTAGAGATCTATATTGTTGGACTCACATAATACAAGGACATGGTTAGCAAGAAAGAGGGAGGGAGGAGGTGGAGCTTCTGGGGCATTTTAAGTTTCAAGGATTTTAGAAGCTGAATACAATATGTAGACTAGTTTTGCTTTCTGTGTTCACAATCGTAGTCTGCATTAGTGGTTAACTACTGGCACACCGACTCAGGACCACCCAAGCCAGCTTGCACATTGGGCATCGCTTGTTTGGATGGTCCTCAACTAAGTAATCACTTGAATTGTCCAGAACCCGAGCAATTCATTTTAGTCAATCACTCTATTCATTATAGGGACTCAGATGATTGATAAATCCCATGGCGATTTTCTTATTTTTTTCATGTTTTTCTTCTTTTTGACATCATTCAGTCCGATTAACCGAAAATCGAAAGCCGGCTTAGGAACCAGAGAGGCAACTAAGCTAACTCAAATCAATGAGTGCCCCAATCCACATTAAATTCAATTTTTAAACACTATAGCAGATCATTCTTAGTTTTCTCTCTCACTCTCTCTCTCTCTCTCTCTCTCTCTCTCTCTC